GGTGCTATTATTGTCACTATTATTGTAAACAAATTAATCATTCAAAGTCATCAATTCTTTGAAATTTATTAAAACTCGCGTTATACGATAGAATACTCGAAATTGAATAAAATATCTATTATTTTTGATGATTTTAAAAATATTACGTGAAAAACTGTGGTAATATTATGATCCGACTGCAACAATGTCGAAAAGTTAATTAAATTAAATTTTGATGGATTAATTAAGAAATTTAAAGAAATCATTTTTAAACACTGTTAGACAATATATTATGAAATTAGGTTGTAATGATATGCATAGCCGATTCGATAATATTGATCATGATTTGCATATCAATTTTACAATGTAGAGATTGGGGGATGCGACGTTCCATGGTGTTTCGCGAATAGGAATATAATCTTGCCCGCAGCTAGCCAGGATTCATACTGGCGCGCTCATGCATAAGCCATTTACTGGTTTACGGAAATGTCGAGAACGCTGTGCGACTCGCTCTCGAAAACGAATTTATACATTATTTGCCGGCGATTATATAGGATGGCGAATGCCGCGCCATCACAGCATAGAGGCCGTTCTTGACGTAGGTCATTTCAATTATTCGTATGCCTCCGCGATGCAATCCACCGATAGGAAATTTTCGAGCTTTCATAGTAGTTAACCATGCAGACGTTTGCAGCCGCCTTACGGGAAAGCTCTACATGTAGATGTGGTCATTTAATATGAAGAATGTGAACACATTTAAAGAGAATTATTAATTTAAAGGGAATAACTAAATTTTCAAAGCAATTATAATTATATATTATTTAGTTATGCATAAATTTTAAAAATCTAATAAATCTTGTGTTTTTTATTCTTTATTAATAATAGAGAAATAAGAAGTATTAAAGTATTTCTTTATTATTATTAAAGAAATACTTTATGAATAAGTATATCAATACACTATAATACTTTTGAAACCTCCATGGATATTTTCTTTAATGAAGCTACTCGGTTTGCAGATTATCTCCGTCTCTATACATCATGCTAACGTTTCGTGAACATTGCAATTTATTTGCAGTTTATCAGGGCAAGTATCAATATCGAGTTGTTTCTCGCCTTGATGAAGTAAACTGCAATATTCACGAAACGTTGGCATTTAACGGTGTATCGAGATAACCCGCAACTGTGGCTTACATTGATATCAACTTACATCTTAATATTAACTGCTTCAGTTTGACATTATAGACTTCTCATCTTATAGACTTCAATTCAATTTCTGCCACTTTTACTTTGTCAGTAAAAATGAATTTAAAATAAAAATATTTTTAAGGATTTCTCTTTTATTTTGCTTTATCTTTCTAATATGAAATGTTTTTTTTTTTTTTTTAAGGAGCTTCGTTCTAATGTGCAGCATTAGGCACTGACAATTTCGACATACACGTGAAGTTTAACGATGTAGCACGGTTTCTCACGGAACGACCTGTTGATGAAGTATGGGTTGGTTCTTCCTTGCCACTATTTTGTTGCTTTCCTTATGCGGTAAGTAATTAAAGATTCAAATTCTCTAAATATAAGAATATTATCAGGATATTATTTTTATAATTGCTTTCATAGATAAGCGTATTAATGAAACATAAATAGATCATTATAAAATCGGTATTTTGTATTTTGCATAATTTGTGAAAAGAAAAGTTGTTCATAAATTCTATTAAAATTTAAATTTAAAAATTATTTTATATTCATGTTTGAAAATAATATCGATTCCATGATTTTTTTATAATTTCACATTTAATAATTAATCTAGTGAATTGTAATTCATAACATGTATATAAATTGGTATTTTGTATTTTGCATAATTTGTAAGAAAAGTTGTTTATAAATTCTATTAAAATTTAAATTTCAAAATTATTTTACTCACGTTTGAGAATAATGTCGTTTAGTGTTATTTTTTGTAATTTTGCATTTGATAATTAATTAATCCAGCGAACTGTAATTTATGATGAGTGTGTTAATTTCTGAAATCACAAAACGTTAAAGTTTAATTTGTTTGTATAATAATTATGTGCGAAATTATGCAATCAAAAATTCAAACGCCACCAAGAACAAAATAGGTCTTATATAGAAAAAGCAATTTTTGTGATGATTGGTTAAAACAAAATTGGTCACTATGCGGATTTAATAATTCGCCCAATTTCAATACAGACTGCTGTAGGCTGATCCTAAATTAGACTTTGTTTAAATTTATCGATTTTCTATTCATGGTTAGATTTCTAATGTTATTCCTCGCACCGCGACGATCCAAATTTTAATCTACATATGCAGATTATACTCGATACTACCGACGTAGAAATACTAAAAAAAAATTTTCTTTATAAAATTTGCATTCTTTATACCGCTAACACGATTTTGCATTAAGGATGCTGCGAAACCGTCAATCACATTTTTCGCAAATTTGACGGTAAATTAATTTTTTAAGTTACTTAAAAAAAAGAGAGCCCCCTTAACACTTTTGACACTTATGCATGCGACGAAAATGGCACTTGATAATCGTTGATTGATGTTTTAGTTTAAATTTATATTCTAATTAAACCTCCACGCGTTAAATATAAGTGTATCCTTAAATCTTTTGAGAAGTAGATATCATAAGTCAAGTAGATTTGGAATAATGAAAAGTGCATTTCAGTTGCTGTGAAATATTATTAAAAAATTACAATTGTTATCAACCAAATTTATATTAACAATGACGATGTTACACATTTCTTAATTAAAAAGATCGCATTAATTAAATTATATATTGCTAATTTTATATATTTATTTTATAACTAAAGATTCTTAATTGTTACTTACAATTGTGAAGCTACTTAAGGTATTGTACATCATTTAATCATTGCAAAGTAATGTAATTATAAAAATTTAATATATGAAATTGATAAACAATATTTGATAAATAAGAAAAATATTTTTATTTTTATTTGTGTGTAAAAATTCCGTTAAAAATTTTTGATTATTCATGAAAACAAAAATCTGAATATTTATTTCTGTTTTCATGTGGAGAAAAGACATGATTCGCTAAATTCGCTATGCAGAAAAGACGCAACAAATTTTATATATATTGAACCTCAATATTCTCGTCTATTCAAAGAAATAAAATTATTGAATAAACAAAATTGCCATTTATAACATTTTTTCTATTTTAGCAAATTTTACTTGTTTTTTAATTTTTTGTTATTCGTAAAAATTAATATTAGTAACAAAAAAATTAATATTAGCAAAACAGATTATGATATTTTTTACAATTGTAATTGCGATAATATTTATTTATAAATGTTTCGATAAATGGAAAAACATGCGTGAAATTCAATATGGGATAAAAATCTTTTCTCTTATTTATCTGATATTCATTTATGTATCGGTTCTACATATTTGAGAAAATTTAATAAGAAGAAATTCTTTTAATTAAAATGATAGACACGCACGCATGCGTCGTGGGAAATATTGTAGACGTCGTCTTTTTTTCCGACGGCAAATTTATCACGCTTATTTAAGTCTAAAGGAGTAAAATACGACAAGGAATAAATAATTGTTTCTTTATGAATTTGTGTAATTCAGAATTTAATTGCAATATTATTTGGAGATAATGGCGAATATAATTATTGTAATATAATGAATAAATACTTTATATTAATGGTGCAATTAGAGATACGTAATTAACAACTACATAATTATAACAATTTAACATATTTATCAAAATCATATTCGTAATTGTAGAATTTCGATTTATATCTTCTCTTTTATTATTGTTGTACTCAGCATCGTCTATTACGTTGAGTGGTGCCGAAAATGCGATTCATCACTCATCCCTGTAAATTGGCCGTCAATCCTTTACATCAATGTCACCTCTCGATTTAACGGATTGAAATTCTCTTGTATCCTTAAGTACATGCATTAGCTATGAGGGAGACGCTCCGTCGATATAGAGAGGAAAAAGACCACTCTGATACTTTTATATTCTCGATTTACTGTTATTGAATTGTCTCCTGTCTTTAGTGTGATTACGATCATTCGTGACCGTTAATTAAAGCGGGAATAATCGATGAAATATTAATGGAAATCTAGTAAAGCAGTTTATACGATCCTCTGATCTCTTTGCATATTCACCTACCTGAAAAGTCCTTCGCACTGATACCTTCTGCTCCATTACACTGCTCTTTCGCATATCTAACGCTAAGATCGATTCTCTCAGAATTCTGATGAGATTTGTTCTATATTTGCGTACACAAACAAACTTCCAAATTTGGATAAATCGATTTCTCGAATGAAATAGTGTTTTTCTTATTCTTAAATAATTTTACTTTAAGATAAAAATTATATATATTATTTAAGTTGAAAAATAAATCAGAGAGATAGTGATTTATTATAGAAAAAAAATATTTGCTTTGCTGGCTTTCGCAGTTTGCGATTCTCTGAAGAATCAACAAAAGTGAGAACAAAGTCAAACATTATTCCTTTAAAATAACAATTATGACAACCGCAACTCTTCCGAGCGATTTTCGTTAGATAAGCGAAGATAGATGAATCGGAGGAAGATTGCACACAGTCCGCCAATTGAAACTCCAATTGATCATTGAACGCGAATCGAGTAGTTTAACGGTGCGCACGTCTTACTGTATTCATTTCATGCTGCTTCCTGAAAATTTCCGGGTCGGACAAAAAAGCGGCGGGAGCGCCGATGCCACAGAGTGGAAGTACTGGGGGCCACGGTCAGCCGCAGGCCGGTTCATCGCCGAGCACCCCGGGCCCCGGCGGCGGTGGTTCTATCGGTGGTGCTACCGGAAGCGGCGGCGGCGGCGGTGGCGGAGGAGCTACCGGTTTCTCCACCGGCGCTGCCGGAGCTGCCACTTTCGGTCTCGGTGTTACTGGTGGGTCGACCGGCGGTGGAGCCGGTGGCGGTGCAGCCGGTGGCGGTGCCGCAGCTTCCGAGACTGGTTCAAGGTGGGCCGACAAGCAGGGGCCTGCTCGTCGGGGTCGAGGATGGCGCGATTGGCGTCGCGGCGATCCCACTCTCATCAAAGGCCTGTGGAAGTCAAAGGGTCCTCTAGGTAATTAATGAATTTATGTCATTCTTCTGTGCTTGTGTTCGGTTATTGTTGTATTGTGTAAACATTCGTACTTGTGAATGATATTGATGAAATTCTATTCTCTAAATTCTTTGAAGTAAAATTTATTCTAAAAAGTTCAATTAAATATACTCTAATTAAGTATACTCTAAAAAATTTAGAGAGTAAGTCACCAACTCCTTTTTTTGTTAAGAATTTGTCGAAAAGACTTCGAAATTGTTGATGCAAATAATCATAAACATAATATAAATAGAGCATGTGAGACCCCCATGTGAGAGAAATAAAATACAACTCGGGTTTCTCTTTTCTCTCTAATAGATAGAGAACAATCATTGTTAGAGGGAGAGGGAGAGGGAGAGGGAGGAAGAGAGAGAGAGAGAGAGAGAGAGAGAGAGAGAGAGAGAGAGAGAGAGAGAGAGACTTGAGTTGTGTTTTCTTTTTCTTTTACATGAACAAACCGTGCCTAGTTCAGTTTTTATATATATATATATATATTATTTATTTGCCTTTTCAGCAAAGGCATAGCATAATATAATCTTATGTTTAACATTTGCGTACAACAAGAATATAATGATTCACTGTATTACACTGTGTCATCTGTGTCCCTTGCTGGAAAGCATCCTAAATATACTATGTCTATGCAAGTGATTTTTCATGTAAGCTCTTCACTTCATTTGTGAAAGATTTTAAGGACTTTCTTTTATTCTGTTTTGCCTTAAAGGGCTTTCGCACAGGCATGAAGTTTGTAAAATCTGTTGCTAATCATTTACATAGGAACATTTATATAAGCTTCCTTTTTTTATATTATTTTTATTATATTTCTATTACAATTAAAACCGTGCATGAATATATTTTAAATCTAATGGGCAGTTTTAGGATTTCTTTCTATCTATATTTGCGGTCAATTTTTAATACAGAGATTTAAAACTATAAAAATACTCGCAGACTATAAATGTTATTAATTTCTCAAATAACTCATGTCTGTAAATATTTCGCTTGCGAAAATTCCACATCATCGTAAATTATACTCGTGCATATGACGGTGACATAACGTGGATACAATTTATATTATATGCTCGTCGACTTCCAGCACATCAGTTGGTAGTCGCAATTTGTTGAGGAAACTTTTTTTGGTTTACTATCTTGGCGTAACAGCATCTGCTACGAAATCTTATATTATGATAGTCGAACCATAAAACCACGACTTATGCTGCAATTTTATGGAAGTTTGTCCGCTTGCGGTTACGTATACGCTTGAATGCAACATAAAAAAATTATTGTACATCTCAGTAAAATTATCAGAAAGTCACGTCTATGCTCGTTATGATTTTCTTATTTTTCTTATTTTAGAAATGGAACTTTTCAAATTTAGACTTACGCATTATAGATAATGTGTGTCCATTGTGTTTGAAGTTTAATCGTGTTTCTTTAAGTTATTGTGAAAGATCGAGCAGAAAACGAGAATTGTTTAGCAAATTGAATTAGATTCTAATTAATATTTGTGAATTTCATGAAGAATTTTGCGCTATTTTATCATGAGCGTATATATTACATGACAGCAATGAGTTTTGTTTTTCTGTTGCTGCAGATAGTAGTCGTTTACTGACATCGATGTAAATCCGGGACTAGTGTAGGGATAATAATGGCGACGGTTGTGAAAAATTCATGAAACGAACAAACAAAACCACGTCGTTCTGCTCGTGTTCTTCGTTGGCTCGAACTTCTTTTAACTTTCAAATAGGACCCTGGCCGAGAAGAGCCTCCTTCGCTTTGGAAATTTCAAATTTTCATCACAGATTAGGACTCCACTGAACCGCAAAGTTCCTTGACATCTAAAATTGCTTGACTTTCATGAAAAAGAATGAACTTGTATCTAATATGATATTAATTCTTTATCATTTATAGCATGTGAATTTATATATCTTTTAAATGTTATTGATTGACAAAAATAATTAATTTTTAATTTCAAATTTGTATATTTGTATTTATTCTTAAATTAGACTCTTATTCTCTAATTTCTAATGACAGTATTAGTATTACATTGTTGTTGCATAGCTTGTATACATATATAAAATCTACGTAATGAAAATGTAATGACACTGACGCTGTCATTAAAAGTTACCGAATATTGGCTTTAGTCACTGATATTGAATAGGAATTTGAAATTAATTCTGTAATTAACATATAGAAATATTTATGGAATTATAATGCATAATGCATCAAAAAAAAGTAAAAATATTTTATATATGTATATATATA